TTTTTGGCTGTTTTCTTCCCTTCGTTGTAGATTTATCCACGTGGTCTTTATAATTACCGTCTTTGTAATTGGGTTTCTGAGTGGACGTCCAACTTACTGATTCTCAGCGCCGAAATCTGAGCAACCCACTGTGCCGACTAAATCAGCGGCGTTAAGATTGTTGGTGCTTTTCTGACTCTGCACCAAGAACCAACGCTCCGAGGCACCGGCAAAACCGCCTCGCCGGTCACAAGAGTTGCGCTGGCGACCCGTGGGGCTCCTCCGCTGGGAATCTCCTGGTGCGTGCGCAACAAGAATTCATGTGAAGGTGTGGCGTCCTCTCCTTCTTTGCACTTTCACTGGGAGCTACAATCCCGAGCTGCTAGTGATCAGCCATCTTGGATCTCTCTTCGCCAAAGTTACTCTTCTATATCAAGGCAGGTAATATATGATAAATGGGACCTTTGTAAAATAATCCATTGAAAAAGTATATTAAATCTTTTGTAGAGATACACAAAAGGAGTTAGTAAAGGTGTTTTGAGTCTAGGCAAACGCTGTCATTGAAGAGAAATTAGTTTTACTCATGGGCTCAAATCAAAGCTAGGTATGAATGAATGAAACATGTGAAGCAGGTTTACTCTTTTAGGAGTTAAGTCAGCTCACAGAAAAAGTCAGTACCTTGGGCCAAATACATTTCTTGAATACCAGATGTGTGAACTCATAACCAATTTAACTTAAGATTATAGTTGTTAGATGAGTTTGAATGCAAACATGTTTTAAAATTGCTTGTTTTCTTTTTTTTTTTTTTTTTTTGAGATGGAGTTTTGCTCTTGTTACCCAGGCTGGAGTGCAATGGCGCGATCTCGGCTCACTGCAACCTCCTCCTCCTGGGTTCAGGCAATTCTCCTGCCTCAGCCTCCTGAGTAGCTGGGATTACAAGCACGCACCACCATGCCCAGCTAATTTTTTGTATTTTTAGTAGAGACGGGGTTTCACCATGTTGACCAGGATGGTCTCAATCTCTCGACCTCGTGATCCACCCGCCTCGGCCTCCCAAAGTGCTGGGATTACAGGCTTGAGCCACCGCGCCCGGCCAAATTGCTTGTTTTCTAAAGTTAGTCTGAGTTACATTTATTTTGGTTAGATAAAAAAAGATTACCGGTTTAGGTGAATGTTATATGCAATATATGTTGATAAAAGTATAAAAAGAGTACTGGTCTTCATTACTTACTGTGCATACATATAGCCCTCATGGATGTCAGATACAGTAGGTCATTAAGAATTAGCCAATTTAACCAAGAAGCAGCTTCTTTGCTCCTTCTGGAATCTCCGCCTGATTCAGCCTACCTGCCTCCACCATGTCAATCAGGGTGACCCAGAAGTCCCACAGGGTGTCCACCTCTGGCCCTCAGGCCTTTAGCAGTCACTCCTACACAAGTGGGCCTGATGCCCACATCTCCTCGAGCTGCTTCTGAGGGGGCAGCAGCAGCTTCTGGGGTAGCCTAGGCAGAGGCTATGTTGGGGCCAGTGGCATGGGAGGCATCGCCACCATCATGGTCAGCCAGAGCCTGCCGAGTGCCTTTAACCTGGAGGTGGACCCCAACATCCAGGCCGTGTGCACCCAGGAGAAGGAGCAGATCAAGACCCTCAACAATAAGTTTGCCTGCTTCATAGACAAGGTACGGTTTCTGGAGCTTCAGAACAAGATTCTGGAGACCAAGTGGAACCTCCTGTAGTAGCAAAGGATGGTTCAGAGCAACATGGACAACATGTTTGAGAGCTACATCAACAACCTTAGGTGGCAGTTGGAGACTCTGGGCCTGGAGAAACTGAAGCTAGAGGTGGAGCTTGGCAACATGCAGCGGCTGGTGGAGGACTTCAAGAACAAGTATGAGAATGAGATCAATAAGCATACAGAGATGGAGAATGAATTTGTCCTCATCAAGAAGGATGTGGATGAAGGTTACATGAACAAGGTAGATTACATGAACAAGGTAGAGCTGGAGTCTTGCCTGGAGGGACTGACTGATGAGATCAGCTTCCTCAGGCAGCTCTATGAAGAGAAGATCTAGGAGCTGCAGTTCTAGATCTCGGGTATGTCTGTGGTTCTGTCTGTGGACAACAGCCACTCCCTGGACATGGACAGCATCATCGCTGAGGTCAAGGCGTAGTATGAGGAGTTCGCCAACTGCAGCTGGGCTGAGGCTGAGAGCATGTACCAGATCAAGTATGAGGATCTGCAGATGCTGGCTGGGTAGCACGGAGATGACCTGTGGCTTACAAAGACTGGGATCTCCTAGATGAACTGGAACATTAGCTGGCTCCAGGCTGAGATCAAGGGCCTCAAAGGCTAGAGGGCTTCCCTGGTGGCCACCATTGCAAATGCTGGACAGGGTGGGGAGCTGGCCATTAAGGATGCCAGTGCCAAGCTGTTCGAAATGGGGGCTGCCCTGCAGCGGGCCAAACAGGACAAGGCATGGCAACTGCATGAGTACCAGGAGTGATGAACATCAAGCTGGCCCTGGACATCGAGATTGCCACCTACAGGAAGCTGCAGGAGGGCGAGGAGAGCCCGCTGGAGTTGGGGATGCAGAACATGGGTATCCATGTGAAGATTACCAGTGGCTACGCAGGTGGTCTGAGCTTGGCCTATGGCCTCAGAAGCTCCGGCCTCACCTACGGCTTGGGCTCCGGCTCCTTCAGCTGCACCAGCTCCTTCAGCCATACTAGCTCCACTAGGGCTTTGATTGTGAAGAAGATGGAGACCTGTGATGAGAAGCTGGTCTCCGAGTCCTCTAACATCCTGCCCAAGTGAAGAGCTGCAGCAGCCCATCCCAGCCTGGCCCTCCTGCAGCTGCTCCAGAGCCCTGGAGGGAGACCCCTCACAAGATAGCACAGGGAACAGGAAACCCACCTGAGGCTCAGCCCTAGCCCTCAGCCCACCTGCAGGGCTGTGGTGGGGGATGGAGGGGGAGTTTACTGCCTGGGGACCATCCTTGCTCATGCTTCCAGCTATAAAACAATTCAATTGCTTTTTTTTTTCTTTTGTCCAAAATAAACAGCTAGCAGTGCTGAAAAAAATATTAGCCAATTTAGATTATTATTCATCTTTTTTCTTGTGATATACTAAAGATTTTGGAGGGAATTAGTGGTTGAGTATTTTTATTTTTATTTTCTAAGTGAACAGGTAACTTCCCCCCCGCCCCCAGCCCTGTCAGAAAAAAAGAATTCTCCAAAGTCATCTACGACAATGGCTTTTAAACTTTTTTGGCCATGACCACATGAAGAAATACATTTTATATAGCAACCCAGGACTCACTCTTAGACACATACACACAAACATAGACACATTGCAGCAAATAAGGGTTTATAGCTTCACAAAACAATACTTATTCTTAATGTATAACAGGCTATAATTCTAGTCTATTGTATTTAATTTAAAAAAAAATGCTAGTTTCAAATCATTACATTTTTTTTTTTTATGACCTACTAATGGGTCTTGACCAGGAGTTTTATGTAAACAGATTTAAAAATATCACAGTCACTGGATATCCATACACAGAAGAATACAGTTAGACCCTTATCTCTCACCATAGATAAAAATTAATTCAAAATGGATTAAACACTTTAAATATAAGATGTAAAACTATGAAATTACTAGAACAAAACACAGAAGAAACACTTCACAACACTGAAGTCTTGGTAAGAGTTTTTTGGATAAGACTTCAAAAGCACAGGCAACAGCAAAAGACAAACAATGGGGATTACATCAAACCAAAAAGTTTCTGGGCAGCAAAGGGAACAATCATCGTAATGAAGAGATAACCAGCAGAATGGAAGAAAATATATGCAAACTATACTTCTGACATGAGGCTAATATAAAAAAAATGCACAATAATATCCAAAATGCATGTCAGGTCTATCATAGATTTCATTGTTGTATTAGTTAGAATCAGTTTGGCTACTGTAGTGAAGACCAATATTGCAGTTTAAACATGATAGGGTTGGGCATGGAGCTCACACTTGTAATCCCAGCTGTTTGAGAGGCTGATGCCAGAGGACTGCTTAAGACCTGGAGTCTGAGACTAGTCTGGACAACATAACAAGACCCAGACTCTACAAAAATAAAAATAAATAAAATTAACTGGGTGTGGTGGTGTGCACCTGTAGTTCTGGCTACTTGGGAAGCTATGGAGGGTGGATGGCTTGAGCCCAGGAGTTTTAGCCTGCTGTGAGCTATAATCATGGCACTGGATTCCAGCTTGGGTGACAGAGTGAGACCCTGTTTAAAAACAAAAGCAACAAAACAGTTCAAGTGATTAATCTCTGATTTAACAGTCCAAGTGTAAGCACTGCAGGATAGTATGGTGCCGCCATGGTGTTGCAGACCTAGGATCCTTCTATTTTGTTTCTTTTGCATCTTTACTTGAAGCTTTTATCTTGTAGTTTGAGATGGCCACTCCTGCTTCTACCATCATATTGTTACTATTACAGTTATAAAATGGGGAAGAAAAGGGAGGGCATCCTCCTTTTAAGGGTGCAACCTAGAAGTATTCTTCCTACTCATGCTGTTGATTAAATCTAGTGACCTGGTCACACTTAGCTACAAGAGAGGCTGGAAAACAGTCTTCAGCTGGGTGGCCACATGTTTCACTGAAACTTTTATTACTGTAGAATAGAACAGATATCAGGGGTATAAGGTGTATCTTCATCTTAATAGCAGCAGAGAAGGATTTACTTTTGGAATGCTTATTTTTTTCTAACTTATTGTTTTGTGGGGAGAAATTTCCTATTGAAGTTATAAAGTGGACTGGAGTTGTGGAAAAGAGTTAGTTTGAGTTCATGTATTTCACTTTGGGACTTTAAAGTCAAATTTATTCTAATGGTTACAGGAATGAGTGTGAAATATATTAAGAGACAAGATTGCCCTTCTCTAACTCACTTTTCATGTACTGTTTTTATGTCTTTGTTTTTCACCTTTCTTGAGACTGGTTTCATAGTTGTTTTCTTTGTATTTTTAGGTATGGCACAGTCACAATGGTGGGTGAAAAGATACCTCAAGGCCTTTTGTAAAGGGTTCTTTGTGGCGGTGCCTGTGGCAGTGACGTTCTTGGATCGGGTCGCCTGTGTGGCAAGAGTGGAAGGAGCATCAATGCAGGTGAAAATGAATATCACTTCATTGTTTAAAACACATACTTCATTGTTTTTCAAGCACTAGAAATGAGAATGCTGATTATTACTCCTATTCTGGGAAGAGGGTTATAAAAATGCGTTGAAATGAAATCTTTACTAAATTTCTTCTTAAGGTTTTCTAATACATTCATAAGCAGAGGAGAGGTGAATAAAAGTAACTATCAGTTCTCTGGGTATGTAATGTAAACTTTTCTGAGAATTTTAAATGGAGATTCTTAATAAATTATACTACTATCAGTTCTCTGGGTCTGTAATGTAAACTTTTCTGATAATTTTAAATGGAGATTCTTAATAAATTATACTAAGTGACACTGTTTCTGTAAATATGGCTCTATTTGGATATCCTTTTAATGCCAAATTATTTGTGTAGTTGCAAGATGGGTTTGAGTCACAATCAGTTGCTCCGTTGTTATATAGGTATATGATATCAGTTTGTAGAAATGTCTAGACCACTGATCCCAGATATTCAACTGTGATTTTTAAACATGTTGCTAATTGAAAAGATTAAGTGCAGTTTACAGTGGAAGAACTTTGGAGTGGAGATTTCCAAAAGTTTTATGCAAATAGTCTTCTGGAATAACTTAGAGAAAATTCTGTTGTCCTAAAGTTGATGTCTAGAACCTAGCTGTTTTAGCAAGTTTATGCAGTTAAGTAGAATTTACATTTTGCTATAGGATTTGGTTTCTTCCATTATTAATATGTATTAAGTTCAGGCATTGTGCTAAATAGTTGTATAAAACAAATAACTAAAATGAATACATAAGCTTCTAAAAAATTAAAATTATAAAGAGAATAACCAGCTTAGTTTTTTTTTTCTTTTGTTTTAGTTAGAACTAGTTAAGGGCATAGGTATTAGCTTTAAGGAGTTATTTGCTTTATTTATTATGATTATGGTATTGAAATTCTCCCTGAGTTCTGGTGTCAGTGAGATGAAGAAGGTCAAGGAATCCTTTAGCTTCTTTGGGAGAAGCTAAATTTTTAAAGCAGGACTGCTTTTTTATTCCACTTCCATCATTTGAGCAGGGCCTTCTCTCAGGCAGGAGATTCTCATTTCAACCCTTGTCTTTCAGGTTCTCTCCATAGTAGGTCACTAGCCCAAAGCAAACTGATCACTTACTTTGAATGCAAAAACATTTTAATGAAGGGGTACAGTAAACATAGAAAGGGAGGTTTACAGGCCTTTGGCTTTAAATATACTTTAACGGGTTTAATATATAATGTGTTTTACACTTGTTGACTCTTTAATCTGGAATTCCTAGCAGGCTTGTCTTAGACCCAATCTTTGGGGAAACGTAGACTTTGTTTGCTGAGCTTTGGAGTCAGTCTTCACTTCAGATTAAAAATGCCTTCTTCACAGCCGCCCACACTCCTTTTTAAATCCATCCACAGGCGTGTATCTTTTGGTAACAAATAATCCAGTTAATAATAATTTTTTCTCCGATTTTGTTACTGCTGTCTTGCTGTACAACTATCACTCTTCTAAGAATGAATTTTCCAGAACACAAAATCTCCTTACTTTGGATCTGATGATATTCCAGAGGATCATGTGGCAATCATAATATCCCAATCTTCGTATTTTTAGCTCAGTATATTCCTACTGAACATCTATGTTCATGGCTTGTGCTGAGAGCCAGAGAAATTCATTATAAAACATAAGGTACAGGTCTTGCTCACAAGACCTTGACTGTCTTATGAAAGGACAAGGTTTATCCCCAGTGAAGAAGGCAGTGAAGAAAGTGTTAAATCCAGTTATTCCTAAATGTCAGTTCATGGACTAAAGCCAAGTTTGCATTAGATATATTTGAATTTGCAGAGGTATTTGAATTTCTTGTATTTCTAGGCCCTACCCCTAAGAAGTGAAATTTATTATGTTAGAATTTGTTTGGTATATTATGTAGTTTCCTCAGCTACTGGTATTAGGAAGATAGTTTGAATTAACTTTGGTATAAAGGAAATTTATTAGAAAGCTTATTCTATACACACAAGGAAGGCAGGAGTGAGACAGTTATCAGGGACAATTAAAGCCAGGACTTGAATGCCTCCAGAGTGCTCTGTCTTCTTTCTAAGTTCTTCTCTGCATCTTGGCTTAGTTCTCTCAGACCAGCTTTCCCTGCATAGCAGGGCACATGGCCACTGACAACTTGCATGCCCAGTTTCTTCACCGCCTGAGAGAGATTGCTCCTACTGCCTGCGTTTCAGTTTGAAATATCTTGGGGAAGGACTGTGATTTATTAAGCTTGGGTCACATGCCCTGGTCCATACAACTATACAGATCAGCTTTGGCCACCAGGATGGGGAACTGTGATTGCTCCAGCTTTGAACAAGTCCACACCCCAAGCCCATGGCCAGGCCAAGTGATCTGTATCAAAATGACAACATCTCTTTGAATCACATTGTTCTGAGGGAATTGGGGATGGAGTACAGGTGACATTTCCTAGAGGAAAGAGGATGCTATTTTCAGAATCCAAGTAGAATGGAATTCTAGGAAGAAAGGAAAATATGTTTTTACAGTTGGGTCTATATTTTATGAATCTGAGACCAACTCTAGGTGTAAAAGATAATTTAATTTACAGTTTCACTAAATACCACTAAATCGTACTTTTAATTAAGAGCAGAAATTACGATAATGGGATTTAAGGATTAACTAATTCAACATATTTGAAGACATCTTTGCTGCTATACAGCTTTGATGAACTAAACATGCTTAGGTCATGGGTTTCAACAGAATTTTTGACAATTGGGATAAATTCTTCTCTTTAAATTTATCTGATGACTCAAGGACTGAAATAGCTGGCATGGTGTGGAGATCTCTGGAAGTCCCTGAGCATCCTGCAAGGGACACAGCTGCTTTTCTTGACTCTGGGAAAAGACACTCTTGAAGGTCACTCAGCAACTTGTAGACACATTATTTAAGAAAAATCAAGGATTCATAGATCGAATCTCATTAAAGGGACATGTAACACTAGTCCTTTGGGCTTATTGAATAAATACTGTTATGGTAACACTGGAAATTCACTTTGAGTAACAAATTTTGTTGTAAGAATTGTTTTCTGGTCTTTCAAAAATTCTGTTGGTTTGTCATAAGAGGAAGCATGTTTTTAAGATTCCCTGTATGAGAAATACTTACTTATATTTTAAATGCTACTTGGTGGTTCTTTTTTTTAGGTTAGGATTTTCAGTATTAATTTTCAGTATTAATACATTAAGTATTTGACTAGAAAGGTAGAAGTGGTCAAACATGAGGAATATCAGCTAATTAAAGGCAAGACATAAATGAAAATAAAGCTTCTAATGATGCATTGTTACAATTCAATGGAAAATAGAATTGAGTTTATAAAATATTTGATTGCTATATGGCTGTATAGCTCTATTCATTTCGTTAGATGAGATGTCCCTTTTGTAATGCTCGACACAATAAATGCTGACACAAATTGTTAGTTAATGATTATTCATACTGACCTATTCCCCTCATGCACATGAATCACTTCAACTGGTTGCTAAAAGGTTACTTATGAAAGTAAATGTTCTTTTTTTTTCTTTTTTTTTTTTAAAGAAGCACCACAATACACGACACCAATTTAATTCAGGAAATGAAGACTGATACTGCATACAGTTGAAACTACAGAGGGAATTTATGTAGGTGGAATGTAGTTATTCAAATTAGAACTTTAATTGCTTACAGAGGCTTTTGGAGTAAAAGGGTGCACTAGGAATAGTTTAATGACCTCACACCAAAGTTTTAGATTTTGAGTGAGAATTCCTGCAGTGGGGTCCCTGGTTCTGATAAAAGGTATATGCTTTCCATATTTAAAACTCAGATTTAAGACTTTAAAAAGTAAGTAAAACAAATAATTTTGGGTCATTATCTTATTTTTTTGCAGTTGATACATGATTTTTACATAGCATTCCGTTTTCCTTTTTCATTTGTATAACCAGAGGGGAAAAATGTTTGAAAACGTTTCTACAAAATTCTGTCTCTCTAAGACTTCTGAGATATATGTATGCAGAATATATTAGGAAAGCAGAGACTATGAAGGAAAATACAGTTTAGTCAGCACTGAGGTCTTTGTTAATCAATAACACATTTATTTATGGGTTTGAAATTGTCTTGACGTTCAGCTACATGTGATTATCTTGTTTCCTGTTGAGTTTGAAATTAAAAGTATTGTCAAAAAGCAAGCAAAAAAGGCTCTTTCGATCTATGTTTTGTTTTTTTTTTTTAATTTTAACTTGCAGAGGCTTAATAATACTCAACAGTCATTGTTTGTTATGACTTGTTTTGACACTCTGTGAAGCTCTCAAGAACTTCTCTGCATACAGACTCTCAAGAGAAGAGATATATTGTGATTTATATACCAACATTTAAGATAGAGTTATGGAGTTTTATGTTACCTGCTAAATTTGTGCTTCCAAGATTCTGGGCACCACCTGGCACGCAGTTCCTCCTGTGTTGACTCCTGTGTCGTCACTTGCTTTGGTCTGCTGGGGTTGACGTCAAAGGAAGCCAAGATTTAATGTTGGAATGCTTTATTGGCTTGCTTGTGTGCTTTCTGCCCAAATTACTTTTGGCTCAGAAATCTCACCTGATGTTTTACCCCTTAGGATGTTGTAAGTTTTTACATAGTTCTGTAACCTATCATTAATAGAGACTTTGTATTTATAGCAACAAACGTGTGATCCTGAAACAGTTGGCGAATGATAAATTTTAATGTCTCTTTGTGGATTTTTCTTCACTTCCCATGATAGAATAACTATACACTTCTATTTTATATAGCCAGGGTTATATCTGTTATTTAAATACCAACTTTATTACACTTTTTAAACAGTTGTTGTAAATTTAGATTTACACAACAGTTGCAAGAATAGTGCAGAGAACTCCTATGGATTCTCTACCCAGATATACTAGTTTTCAATATTTTAATTTATTTCTTTTATTCTCTTTTTTTCCTCTCCCTCTTCTCTCTC